GTGCATGTTACTCCCTTGCCAAAATACTCAATCAGACACTGGTGGTAGTGTGCATGTTACTCCCTTGCCAAAATACTCCAATCAGACACTGGTGGTAGTGTGCATGTTACTCCCTTGCCAAATTATGCTATCAGACACTGGTGGTAGTGCATGTTACTCCCTTGCCAAAATACTCTATCAGACACTGGTGGTAGTGTGCATGTTACTCCCTTGCCAAAATACTCAATCAGACACTGGTGGTAGTGTGCATGTTACTCCCTTGCCAAAATACTCAATCAGACACTGGTGGTAGTGTGCATGTTACTCCCTTGCCAAATTATGCTATCAGACACTGGTGGTAGTGTGCATGTTACTCCCTTGCCAAAATACTCAATCAGACACTGGTGGTAGTGTGCATGTTACTCCCTTGCCAAAATTATGCAATCAGACACTGGTGGTAGTGTGCATGTTACTCCCTTGCCAAAATACTCAATCAGACACTGGTGGTAGTGTGAATGTTATTTCCTTGCCAAGATACTCAATCAGACACTGGTGGTAGTGTGCATGTTACTCCCTTGCCAAAATACTCAATCAGACACTGGTGGTAGTGTGCATGTTACTCCCTTGCCAAAATACTCAATCAGACACTGGTGGTAGTTTGCATGTTACTCCCTTGCCAAATTATGCTATCAGACACTGGTGGTAGTGTGCATGTTTCTCCCTTGCCAAATTATGCTATCAGACACTGGTGGTAGTGTGCATGTTTCTCCCTTGCCAAATTATGCTATCAGACACTGGTGGTAGAGTGCATGTTACTCCCTTGCCAAATTATGCTTTCAGACACTGGTGGTAGTGTGCATGTTACTCCCTTGCCAAAATACTCAATCAGACACTGGTGGTAGTGTGCATGTTACTCCCTTGCCAAAATACTCAATCAGACACTGGTGGTAGAGTGCATGTTACTCCCTTGCCAAATTATGCTATCAGACACTGGTGGTAGTGTGCATGTTACTCCCTTGCCAAAATACTCTATCAGACACTGGTGGTAGTGTGCATGATACTCCCTTGCCAAAATACTCAATCAGACACTGGTGGTAGTGTGAATGTTATTTCCTTGCCAAGATACTCAATCAGACACTGGTGGTAGTGTGCATGTTACTCCCTTGCCAAAATACTCAATCAGACACTGGTGGTAGTGTGCATGTTACTCCCTTGCCAAAATACTCAATCAGACACTGGTGGTAGAGTGCATGTTACTCCCTTGCCAAATTATGCTATCATACACTGGTGGTAGTGTGCATGTTACTCCCTTGCCAAAATACTCAATCAGACATTGGTGGTAGTGTGCATGATACTCCCTTGCCAAAATACTCAATCAGACACTGGTGGTAGTGTGAATGTTATTTCCTTGCCAAGATACTCAATCAGACACTGGTGGTAGTGTGCATGTTACTCCCTTGCCAAAATACTCAATCAGACACTGGTGGTAGTGTGCATGTTACTCCCTTGCCAAAATACTCAATCAGACACTGGTGGTAGTGTGCATGTTACTCCCTTGCCAAATTATGCTATCAGACACTGGTGGTAGTGTGCATGTTACTCCCTTGCCAAAATACTCAATCAGACACTGGTGGTAGTGTGCATGTTACTCCCTTGCCAAATTATGCTATCAGACACTGGTGGTAGTGTGCATGTTACTCCCTTGCCAAATTACTCAATCAGACACTGGTGGTAGTGTGCATGTTACTCCCTTGCCAAAATACTCAATCAGACACTGGTGGTAGTGTGCATGTTACTCCTTGCCAAAATACTCAATCAGACACTGGTGGTAGTGTGCATGTTACTCCCTTGCCAAAATACTCAATCAGACACTGGTGGTAGTGTGCATGTTACTCCCTTGCCAAAATACTCAATCAGACACTGGTGGTAGTGTGAATGTTATTTCCTTGCCAAAATACTCAATCAGACACTGGTGGTAGTGTGCATGTTACTCCCTTGCCAAAATACTCAATCAGACACTGGTGGTAGTGTGCATGTTACTCCCTTGCCAAAATACTCAATCAGACACTGGTGGTAGTGTGATGTTATCCCTTGCCAAATTATGCTATCAGACACTGGTGCATGTTTCTCCCTTGCCAAAATACTCAGACACTGATGGTAGATCAGAGACACTGGTGGTAGTGTGCATGCATGTACTAATCAGACACCTTGCACTGGTGGTAATGTTACTCCTTGCCAAAATACTCAATCAGACACTGGTGGTAGTGTGCATGTTACTCCCTTGCCAAAATACTCAATCAGACACTGGTGGTAGTGTGCATGTTACTCCCTTGCCAAAATACTCAATCAGACACTGGTGGTAGTGTGCATGTTACTCCCTTGCCAAAATACTCAATCAGACGCTGGTGGTAGTGTGCATGTTACTCCCTTGCCAAATTCCTCTGTCAGACACTGGTCAAAGTGGGATTCTGATAACACTATTCTGTACAGGGCTCCTTTCACTGAACAAACACTGAAATCAGGAAATGACTAGACCAAATCCCAAATAGCAGCAAAAACAATCCAAGGATATTCTATCAGAAATCACTTTATCAGTCTAACTCTGGACAGATGCAATTCCACTCCAATTTACTGGAGACAGTTGTCATCTCTCTTTTGGACTAACACCATCCTCCATGCTCTGATCAAACACTCTGTTATAAACTAATACCTCTCTCTCCCCGACACTTTTGTACAATAAATATCCCAGAGTACCTCAAAATAATTATGTTATGATGTCCTAAGTTAACAGATAATATAAAAATCATTTGTAGAAAAAAAACCCACAAAGGTGTATTTGAGTGTTTGGCTGAGTTATGTTGGTGCGGCGAAACTGCAATGTCAGTAGTTCCTCATGACTGCTTGGTGTGTGATACTGTCAGAACTCGTTACATAATGAACTGATACACAACCTATCAATGAGTGGCCAACTGGGGCGAGTTTTCAATCTCACTTTCACAACAGCAGCATGAAGCAGCATGTTAAACAGAAAAATGATTGTGTCTTTATGAAACTGGTTGATGTATTATTGATGAGATAAATGTTGTGGCAAGAGATTAATTTATTTGTCAAGCTCCAGAATACACCGGCAAAGATAAGTTTAAAGTGGAGCAATAATTTTACAGGTACACACAGGTGGAGGAGAATTCATCTTTAGAGGTACACACAGGTGAAGGAGCATTCAACATGACACACACCCCTCCCTAGCATGGTTCTCAACATGACACACATCCTTCTCTTGTGTGGTTTTCAACATAACACACTTACTTCTCTGGTGTGGTTCTCAACATGGCAAACAACCTTCCCTGGTGTGATTCTCAGCATGACACACACCCTTTTCTGGTACAGTCCTCACAACTCACTTCATTGTAGTCCCATTCACACACACCCGTTCTGTTATAATACACACACCCTACAACTCAACATTTACCCATTCACCTTGTTATAATACACCCTCAACTAACACATTTACTTCTCTGTTGTGGTTCTCAACATGACACACACCCTTCTTTGGTGTGGTTCACAACATAACACACATCCTTCTCTGGTGTGGTTCTCAACATGACACACACCCTTCTCTGGTGTGGTTCTCAACATGACACACACACTTCTTTGGTGTGGTTCACAACATGACACACACCCTTCCTTGGTGTGGTTCTCAGCATGGCAAACAACCTTCCCTGGTGTGGTTCACAACATGACACACACACTTTTCTGGTGTGGTTCTCAACATGGCAAACAACCTTCCTTGGTGTGGTTCTCAGCATGGCAAACAACCTTCTCTAGTGTAGTCCTCAGCATGACACACAAACACTTCCCTGGTGTGGTTCTCAATATGACACACACACTTCTCGGGTGTAGTCCTCAGCATGACACACACACTTCTCTTGTGTGGTTCACAACATGACACACACTCACTTCTCTGGTGTGGCTCTCAGCATGGCAAACAACCTTCTCTGGTGTAGTCCTCAGCATGACACACACCCTTTCCTGGTGTGGTTCTCAATATGACACACACACTTCTCGGGTGTAGTCCTCAGCATGACACACACACTTCTCTTGTGTGGTTCACAACATGACACACACACACTTCTCTGGTGTGGTTCCCAACATGACGCACACCCATTCACCTTGTTATAATACACCCTCTATTGCTCAGGCATAATAGTTATCAAGATCTGTATCTCCTCCCCTGGATTATCCCACTTTACCTCAAATCTTGCAATATGGAATGAATTATCTGATGGTGATGTACAAATCTTGTACCTCTAACATTTTACCATCAGTCCAAGATTTTCTTTCCCCAAAACCTGTATTATCTTTAATACACTCATTCAGGGCATAACCCTGGGAGACTCACTTTATTTATACAATGGCAGCTATCTGTGTTGTAGGAGACTCACTATTTATACAATGGCAGCTATCTGTGTTGTAGGAGACTCACTATTTATACAATGGCAGCTATCTGTGTTGTAGGAGACTCACTATTTATACAATGGCAGCTATCTGTGTTGTAGGAGACTCACTATTTATACAATGACAGCTATCTGTGTTGTAGCTATTTATACTGTATCTGTGTGTAGGAGACTCACTATTTATACAATGGCAGCTATCTGTGTTGTAGGAGACTCACTATTTATACCATGTCAGCTATCTGTGTTGTAGGAGACTCACTATTTATACCATGGCAGCTATCTGTGTTGTAGGAGACTCACTATTTATACCATGGCAGCTATCTGTGTTGTAGGAGACTCACTATTTATACAATGGCAGCTATCTGTGTTGTAGGAGACTCACTATTTATACCAATGGCAGCTATCTGTGTTGTAGGAGACTCACTATTATACCATGTCAGCTATCTGTGTTGTAGGAGACTCACTATTATACCATTGCAGCTATCTGTGTTGTAGGAGACTCACTATTTATACCATGGCAGCTATCTGTGTTGTAGGAGACTCTCTGAATGAGCAGCGTTGTGTTACCTGCTTTGTTCCCAGATGAAGCACTGAACAGGGTAGCTTGGCCAGTTCCCCTTCACGAACAGTGATGTTGTTGGGCACAGTGAGGAACTCTGGCTCTGGAGGTGGTAGGTAGACTGGTTCTGCAGCGACAGCAACAATAACAATACAAATACTTGTATCAGTATTAGTTGATGAAAAGCCGTTTTTGTGGCATATATGACATATATAGCTGACATAAATAGATAGACCTAAGAGGATGTGAGTGATAGTACAGCAACTGAACCAGCACCACACTCCATCATTCCAAGGAATAATATTACAGTTATGGTATAGTGACTAAGCCATCACTAACATTAATCATTCTAATGATTTCAACTTCTTTAACTGCAACTAAACGGACAATAAAGATGACAGTTTCTGTTGTCTGGTTCATGTGTTAACTAAAAGCATCTGAATCAATAGTTCCAAACACATGTAGGCTTGAATTTGAATTGGAGGACGGCATCAAGAACACTTTACGAGAAAGTATGCTTTCTGTTTCCTTTCTTACAATCAATTTACATGACAACATCATCATACCTTAGGCTTGCCTAGTTCATGTGAAGTTGAGGGCAGACATTTACTGTCTTTCGCAATGATCACACATATATCAGTTAGAATTTGAAGCTTTAACTACTAAATATAGCGAGCCATGAACTCTTGTCTAGTTGGTTGTGAGGGTTGAAAAACTGTATATCAGTTTCATAATATATCTGACAATAAATGTTCTTCAAATACTATGTCAGCTATCTGTGTTGTAGGAGACTCACTGAGTGAACCATGTCAGCTATCGGTGTGGTAGGAGACTCAGTATACCATGTCAGCTATCTGTGTGGTAGGAGACTCAGTATACCATGTCAGCTATCTGTGGTGTAGGAGACTCAGTACATCATGTCAGCTATCGTGTGGTAGGAGACTCAGTATAGTATGTCAGCTATCTGTGGTGTAGGAGACTCAGTATACCATGTCAGCTATCTGTGTGGTAGGAGACTCAGTATACTATGTCAGCTATCTGTGTGGTAGGAGACTCAGTATACCATGTCAGCTATCTGTGTGGTAGGAGACTCAGTATACCATGTCAGCTATCTGTGTGGTAGGAGACTCAGTATACCATGTCAGCTATCTGTGGTGTAGGAGACTCAGTATACTATGTCAGCTATCTGTGGTGTAGGAGACTCAGTATACCATGTCAGCTATCTGTGGTGGTAGGAGACTCAGTATACCATGTCAGCTATCTGTGAGGTAGGAGACTCAGTATACTATGTCAGCTATCTGTGTGGTAGGAGACTCAGTATACCATGTCAGCTATCTGTGTGGTAGGAGACTCAGTGTATCTGTGGGTAGGAGACTCACTGTGTGGGTAGTATACCATGTCAGCTATCTGTGAGGTAGGAGACTCAGTATACTATGTCAGCTATCTGTGAGGTAGGAGACTCAGTATACTATGTCAGCTATCTGTGTGGTAGGAGACTCAGTATACCATGTCAGCTATCTGTGTGGTAGGAGACTCAGTATACCATGTCAGCTATCTGTAGTGTAGGAGACTCAGTATACAATGTCAGCTATCTGTGTGGTAGGAGACTCAGTATACTATGTCAGCTATCTGTGGTGTAGGAGACTCAGTATACCATGTCAGCTATCTGTGTGGTAGGAGACTCAGTATACCATGTCAGCTATCTGTGGTGTAGGAGACTCAGTATACCATGTCAGCTATCTGTGGAGACTCAGAGTATACCATGAGCCATCTGTGGGTAGGAAGACTCAGTATACCATGTCAGCTATCTGTGGTGTAGGAGACTCAGTATACCATGTCAGCTATCTGTGTGGTAGGAGACTCAGTATACCATGTCAGCTATCTGTGTGGTAGGAGACTCAGTATACCATGTCAGCTATCTGTGGTGTAGGAGACTCAGTATACCATGTCAGCTATCTGTGTGGTAGGAGACTCAGTATACCATGTCAGCTATCTGTGTGGTAGGAGACTCAGTATACCATGTCAGCTATCTGTGTGGTAGGAGACTCAGTATACCATGTCAGCTATCTGTGTGGTAGGAGACTCAGTATACCATGTCAGCTATCTGTGTGGTAGGAGACTCAGTATACCATGTCAGCTATCTGTGTGGTAGGAGACTCAGTATACTATGTCAGCTATCTGTGTGGTGTAGGAGACTCAGTATACCATGTCAGCTATCTGTGGGTGGTAGGAGACTCTCAGTATACCATGTCAGCTATCTGTGTGGTAGGAGACTCAGTATACCATGTCAGCTATCTGTGGTGTAGGAGACTCAGTATACCATGTCAGCTATCTGTGTGGTAGGAGACTCAGTATACCATGTCAGCTATCTGTGTGGTAGGAGACTCAGTATACCATGTCAGCTATCTGTGGTAGGACTCAGGAGACTCAGTATACCATGTCAGCTATCTGTGTGGTAGGAGACTCAGTATACCATGTCAGCTATCTGTGTGGTAGGAGACTCAGTATACCATGTCAGCTATCTGTGGTGGTAGGAGACTCAGTATACCATGTCAGCTATCTGTGTGGTAGGAGACTCAGTATACTGCTATCTGTGTGTAGGAGACTCAGTATACCATGTCAGCTATCTGTGGTGTAGGAGACTCAGTATACCATGTCAGCTATCTGTGTGGTAGGAGACTCAGTATACTATGTCAGCTATCTGTGTGGAAGGAGACTCAGTATACCATGTCAGCTATCTGTGGTGTAGGAGACTCAGTATACCATGTCAGCTATCTGTGTGGTAGGAGACTCAGTATACCATGTCAGCTATCTGTGGTGTAGAAGACTCAGTATACCATGTCAGCTATCTGTGGTGTAGGAGACTCAGTATACCATGTCAGCTATCTGTGTGGTAGGAGACTCAGTATACCATGTCAGCTATCTGTGGTGTAGGAGACTCAGTATACCATGTCAGCTATCTGTGTGGTAGGAGACTCACTGAGTGTACAATGTCAGCTATCTGACAACAAATGTTCTTCAAATTGACATCATCTTTACTTTGCCCAACTTGCATTCTTCAAACAGAATGATCATGACACTGGAGAACTAACATTTGTCATATTGCTAACATTTTGATGCAAAATGGCTAACAAATATATCATTGCGAAATACACTACATATCAATTGCATATCAAGGACATAGAGTAAACTGCATCATCTAATCATTGATCAGTCAATATATAAATTGTAACAAAATGAGAGTGATTTATTTATTTACTCAACCATGTTGTAAATCAAACTACACTGCAGGAATAATTGAAGTTACTCTTTCTTAAAAATCCTTGTTTTCAATCTAACAAGATTAAGATATCATCCTGACAATACACACAGAACCTTAGAGATGCTAACTACTGAATGCTATTGATTGTCCCAACATGTAGACAGAGCCAGGGACCCACGGGGAGTAGACAGGAATAGAACAGGTCAAAATATTGCATTAGGGTCAGTATGTCATTGCTTACCCACCTACTGTATGTCTGTGTTGCTTATCCCACTGAAGGTGAGAGTACACCTACTGTATGTCTGTATTGCTTATCCCACTGAAGGTCAGGGTACACCTACTGTATGTCTGTGTTGCTTATCCCACTGAAGGTGAGGGTACACCTACTGTATGTCTGTGTTGCTTATCCCACTGAAGGTCCTACTGTATGTCTGTGTTGCTTATCCCACTGAAGGTCAGACACCTACTGTATGTCTGTACACCTACTGTATGTCTGTGTTGCTTATCCCACTGAAGGTCAGGGTACACCTACTGTATGTCTGTATTGCTTATGTCTACACCTACTGTTGCTTATCCCACTGAAGGTGAGAGTACACCTACTGTATGTCTGTATTGCTTATCCCACTGAAGGTCAGGGTACACCTACTGTATGTCTGTGTTGCTTATCCCACTGAAGGTGAGAGTACACCTACTGTATGTCTGTATTGCTTATCCCACTGAAGGTCACCACTGAAGTCTGTCAGGAAGGTCAGGGTACACCTACTGTATGTCTGTGTTGCTTATCCCACTGAAGGTCAGGGTACACCTACTGTATGTCTGTGTTGCTTATCCCACTGAAGGTCAGGGTACACCTACTGTATGTCTGTGTTGCTTATCCCACTGAAGGTCAGGGTACACCTACTGTATGTCTGTACTGCTTAGGGTCCCACTGTATGTCTGTTTGCTTATCCCACTGAAGGTAGGGTACACCTACTGTATGTCTGTATTGCTTATCCCACTGAAGGTCAGGGTACACCTACTGTATGTCTGTGTTGTTGCTTATCCCACTGGAGGTCAGGGTACACCTACTGTATGTCTGTGTTGCTTATCCCACTGAAGGTCAGCACCTCTGTATGAAGTGTCCCACTGAGGTCAGGTACACCTACTGTATGTCTATATTGCTTATCACACTGAAGGTCAGGGTACACCTACTGTATGTCTGTGTTGCTTATCACACTGAAGGTGAGGTACACCTACTGTATGTCTGTATTGCTTATCCCACTGAAGGTCAGGGTACACCTACTGTATGTCTGTGTTCACACTGCTTATCCCATTGGAGGTCAGGGTACACCTACTGTATGTCTGTATTGCTTATCACACTGAAGGTCAGGGTACACCTACTGTATGTCTATATTGCTTATCCCACTGAAGGTCAGGGTACACCTACTGTATGTCTGTATTGCTTATCCCACTGAAAGTCAGGGTACACCTACTGTATGTCTGTATTGCTTATCCCACTGAAGGTCAGGGTACACCTACTGTATGTCTGTATTGCTTATCCCACTGAAAGTCAGGGTACACCTACTGTATGTCTGTATTGCTTATCCCACTGAAGGTCAGGGTACACCTACTGTATGTCTGTATTGCTTATCCCACTGAAAGTCAGGGTACACCTACTGTATGTCTATATTGCTTATCCCACTGAAGGTCAGGGTACACCTACTATAGGCCTGCATTAGTTGATTTCTGAAATTTAAGTATGGTCTGACATTTCAATAGTATATGTTATTATTATTTGTTTATATGTATAATATATATACGTTTAACACAAATATTCAGAATGTGGTTTGGTTGTTCTTGTGGCAGCAGTATATTCATCTGGAGGA